TATTTTCTGTGCATGCAGGAAGCACGCGAAAACGGGCAACATTTTAAGACTTCCGGTTCAAATTCCCCACCCCGTTATCAAATGCCCCACCACATGGAAGACTTAGGGCCTGTTTACATGGAGGTAGGGTGACCCTATCAGGAGGGTTACCCTAGCAAGCGGGTCAGAAAATAGCGAGCGTTTACATGAGGTAGGGTGACCCTACTGCTAGGGCTATGTTGCCGGATAGGGTAACCCTACCTATGCGTGGTCGCTAAGCGGTCTGTATTAGATAAATGGCGCCGAAACGCAAAGTTTTAGCGGCAAGTTGTGTAATGCTATTTATTGGGCCTTTGCTTGCTGCATTTCAATGTTGTGGTCTGTTATTTCCGAGGTTATTTCAATATCGTGGTCTGTTATTTCAATGTTGTGGTCTATTACTCGCATTGCGTAAATAAGCGTAATGTATTCCTTGATATAGTCCAACACAACAGTTTTTCGACATGTTCGGCTGACCAAGAGCATTTATTTTGTTTTTTTGACGTCGATGAGGATGCGCCGGAATTTTGCTTCCTTTTCGCCGTCTTTGACAATTTGTTATCGAAACTACATCATTCGCAGCGTTCTTGTCCAAAGTCAAAGCTTCGTTCTATGCCTCTGCTTCCTTATTTGTAAATTGCTTATCCTTTTTATTTTCTGGTGTCGTTTAAAATACTCGCCAGGCTGATATGTTCATATGTATAATCTAGCGACGCCATATCCTTGTTTGTCTGTCACAGTAGGACGTATAAAACATGACCCGCTTGCTAGGGTAACCCTACCTGACGCGTTTACATGGCTTATGTAAACAAAAAGATAGTCCTGCAGCTAGGGTCACCCTATCTGCTTGATAGGGTAACCCTACCCGCATGTAAACGCTTCCTATAAAACATATTGAAGTAGGGTAACCCGCTTGCTAGGGTAACCCTTCTGCTAGGGTCACCCTACCTCCATGTAAACAGGCCCTTACACTTGTAAAGATAGAGCTATGTGGGGAGCTGCTGGTGGTCTTGGCGCTACCAAGGTTTTCCTGTACTGCAGGTTTTTCCTGGCCTCCCTGATTACCCAGCCTTAGCATAAGTGTCAGCATCAAGTGAAAAGCATTCTCTAGTGAACCTCGGGCCTTTTGACTTCGTTAAATTGACATAGCCGGACTTGGCCGCGTCGGCAATGAACTGAAATAGGTCTGCAATTAGTTCTTTCATATAAAAACAACAACAAGGTTCAAACATTTAATGAATCTGCCTAATATTGACATGCTAAACACAAAGCAAAAAACACATTTTTATTCTTTAACCACCCATTTTTCACTTTATTGCCGACCCGGTCGACTCTGCGCTGCTTCCCGTGGCGGAAACGACAACCTATACTTCGTATAGATTGCCATTAATGGCAGGGAAGTGCTTTCCGATGGACAACACTTCACCACGTGAAGCGCAGTCACTGCTCATTCAGGTCGCACTGAAGACCTGAATGAGCAGTCCTTGAGACTCGATGAGGTCAGTCAGGTTATCAGTTGCGGCCCGGGGTAATGTGCCCTATACCAATAGTTGTTCACCAGTCCAACTAGGTCTCAATGTCGACGGCCTGACGGATCTGAACGGGGGTTCGCCTGTTCCCCTGTTATCTAGAGGTCCGCCTGTTCCTCTAGAACAACCTACAGTTTTTGCGTGTATCCCTCAGCCAGCTATGAGTACCCTGGGTAATGTGCCCTATACCAATAGTTGTTCACCAGTCCAACTAGGTCTCAACTCGCTGAACGACATGCACAGAGTCAACAAGCATGCCCTCTGCAGTCTAGAGATTCGTCTGTTTCTCTAGATAAAACTTAGGTTAGCGAGAGCCTCCAGACAGTTCGGCCGGAACTGTTTTAGAGCACTTCTCTGCCCAAAATATATGCCACAAAAATGTGTTCCAAGTTATTGTTGTCTTGCTTAGTTGCCAGTTGTTCGATTTTAACTATCTGTGTCTTTCCAACATATTCAACTTCATTAAACTGGATTAAAATTAAGTGGCACGACATAAACATATTCTCCTCGGGAATATTGTCCTCTCATAAAATTTTCCGCTTTTCGTCTTATTTTGTCATACAGTATAATCGCAATTTCAAGTGTTACATGAATTCGATGCTGTGACGTTTAAATTAAAGGCATATGCAGGCGTGAGGTCTGCCATTCATTCATAAATCATAGTCATAATTCTGTCATACAACTATAGTACTGTACTAGCCAAAAACATTTTGTAAGCCTTATACAGTTCACAGTTGAGCAAACATCATTATGTTTATATATATTACAGTATACAGACAAAAAAATGGATAAGCATACCTGAGCTGGCTGAGGTTTCTCCTTCTCACACTGGCAGAACCTATCCTATCGAAGGGAAGATGGCTGTGAAACTCTAGCCACTTGCTGCTAGCGACAGGAATTGTGGCGACCACTCATTGGTCAATGCAATAAATATAGCTCTTATGATATATTACGTCATTATAAATTAATGTTGAAAACCGCTGCCTCAGCTTTCAATTGCTTTGAGCCCACTGTTTGAGCAAGCAATCTTATTAGTATTTGCCGCCGCAGCGATGAAGCGACCGAGCAACGCAGCAGCCTAAACTTTGAAATAGTGGTTGAAATCTGAATTTTGACCAAGCGCGATGCATTATCGTTGCCGGTATTTTTTTCCATAATGCACTTCGGGTCTTTCTGAACAAATGTTTACCGAGACAAGTTGTAAATTCGAAGCGCTGTGACCGGGTTTCAAAGGCGAGCCTTTATTAGGAACCGTTCATTTTTTACCTGGGAGGGTGGGCTGGTGGAAATAGGGGGTGGGCCGCCTAAAATAAATGGCCGAAAAAGGGTGGGTTATGCCAAAATTTTTGTGAAGACGGGGGTGGGTCATGCAAAAATATATTAACTTTTTTTTTGATACTGAGAAATCACTATTTCGATACTGTATTTTAAATCAGTTCTCGTCCATATCAATGTCCTCTTCACATTCACTTGTATTATCTTCAGGGGCGTAGCGTGACCTTTTTAACTGGGGGGGGGGGGTGTAACATCTAAGTTTTACCGACGACCACGTGGCACTTGAAGCGAAATAATCCGCTGTTTTATCCAATGGCCTCATTTTCAATTATGTCAACTACTTACTCATGTTTTGTGCTTAGTATAGGGTTGAAAATTACTTTGTTATTGAGCCTAAGAATAACAAGAAACAAATTCGTCCTGGAAAACATGGGAATATAATCTTTATCTGCCCCTGACATGCTTTTAAAATAAGTTAACGTGGAAACAAGGGCAAATGATGTTGTGTAAAAGAGAATAATCGGTAAGGTCTATTAAGAATAAAAAGAGTAAATGCGAGCATTGTCGTGGATCAGTACATGCTGCATGCATTATCCCATAGTTGCCAACTTTGACGAAAAACATGCGTGAGATTTTGTTTGGGGGGACCCACGCGCCACGAGGCGCCACCATGGTTGGCGCCGAGCTGAAAATTTTTGAAAATATGGAGTCTCTAGATCGTTGGAAATGGCATTTTCAGAGTCTTCTGTACCTTATACACACAAGTTTTGGTAGCTTTCATTTATATTAAACAAAACCATATTGTTAAATACCCACGAGGTTGCATGTAGCGAATAGCGATGTTTTGATTATGTATTTCAGAAGGAAAAAGTTTTATGTAATTTGACGCAAATAAACTTAATGAAGTCACTCTTAATAGTTAAAATGTGCAACAAAGCCAACATATTTAAGAACCAGTTGTGTTATTTTCGAAATCCGTGAGAATCCGTGAGATATTAACAAGCTGTGAGTATGAGCTCACCGTGAGGTTTTAGTAGAATCCGTGACCGCCCCTTATACGCTACATATAACATATACCATAACAGCTATAGAGCAATTGACAAATAAATATTTCGGCGCGCATTTAATTTAATGACACTTACCGTGACTTTAGTCTGCCGTCGAGAAATAACGTAAAACCAGAAACGCAGCAAACGCTTTATTAATTGGAATAATTGTGTCTTTGTTACTTCGCGATAAGTCATTTTACTCAATGACATTTATCTTGTTGTTTATTGTAATAAACAGACTTGAAAAATTGGCGAAACATTTTAAGAGCACCGCGTGTCAATAATAAATAATAAATATATAAATATAATCTTTAATTCTTTGGCGTATCATTGTATCAAGGTCAAAAGTTCGCGCACAGTTGAACATGTCGATCCAATCAGAACCGACTGTTTTCGCAGCTCTTGCAAGTGTAATACGATAGGAAATTAGGGGCTGCAATGCTTATGCGTAGATATTTAATATAAGTGATTACTGAAGAATTACGTACATTTTGCATAACTTTATTGGAGAACAAGGCACAACATTCATTTAATTTAATTGATTATTAAAAGCCATTTACCGAGGAGCAAAATTTCACTTTAACCGATTTGTTTTACCGACCGCTGTCATGGCTCTTGCCATTACCGAGTAACTTCGCGTTTTACCGACTACCTCACTAAAACTGGGGGGGGGTGACACCCCCCCCCCCGCACGCTACGCCCCTGATTATCTTCACTATCACTTACCTCTACCTCATAATTCCGTCTATCATCGCTATCACAACCACCATTAAAACACTCTTCAGGATAAAGGACAGCAAAAACTTTTTCCTGAGCCTTTGCTGGGAGATTGTTTATTACAAAAGCTTGCTGCTCTATTGCTAAGATACGGTTGTTGCTGCACATTCAGTGTCTCATATAAATAGTTCGGAGGAAGCACTTTTCACATGCACCTATAAAATGTTTGGGGACAATGACATTGGGTGGATAGGTAAAAAATTCTTTCAGATCTGGAA